ATCTTCAAAACAAAAACAACTGTTAGAATTCTGCAACTACATTCCCTTTATTTAATACTCCATAAAGATTGTGTAAATTTTTATTTCCCTGATATGTTCAATCATTGCTTTAGAACATGCAGGGGACCCAGGTTCAGTTCCAGCACCACCAGGAGGCTCACAACTGTCTGAAGCTACAGATCTAGGAGAACCAATGCCCTCTCTGACTTCCACAGGCACAGGGTATACTGGTGTACAGTTCATATACATTCAGGCACTTACACGTACACGTAAAACAAATAAATCTTACTTTTAAAAAAATAGAGCATGCAGAATAAACATCTGCAAGCTGAAAATACCAACTCAAAAATGCACCAAATGCTAAATTTTTGAGCACCAACATAATACCTCAATGGATATTTTTACACTTGACCCCAACCCACTAAAAATGTTGTATAAATGTGTAAATTAAGTACATTAATGGGGAAAATATTTTTTAAACTTACCTCCAAGTTATATGGTTGTTGGTTTTTGGTTGTTTTGTTTTGTTTTTGCTTTTTTGTGATTTTTTTTTTTTGAAATATGCTTTCTCTGTGTAGCTTTGGAGCCTGTCCTGGAACTTACTCTGTAGACCAGGCTGGCCTCGAACTCACAGAGATTCATCTGCCTCTGTCTCCTGAGTGCTGGAATTAAAGGTGCACACCACTTTGACTTTGTTATATGTTTAATGTACATGTTAAGCATAAATTTTGTTTTTATACCTGTATTCCACCCAGAATAGCTCATGTGTATACATATACATACACACATCAAAAAAAAAAAAAAGCTCTACAGTTTAAGACAGAAGTTTCTGTATCACCCAGTCCGCTTTTATTAATTATAAACTATTTGGCCTGTTAGCTCAGGCTTTTTATTAACTGACTCTTACAACTTAAATTAACCCATAATTTTTGTTTCTGTTTAGTCACGTGGCTTGGTACCTTTTCTTAGTAAGACATTCTCATCACATCTGAACGTTGACTGCATCTCTGCCTTCCTCTTCCCAGAATCCTCTTAGTCTAGTTGCCCCATCTAAACTTTCTTCCAGGCTACTGGCCAATCAGCATTTTATTAAGCCAATACAAGTGACAAATCTTTACAGTGTACAAGAGCATTATCCCACAGCCGTTTGGAAGACAAATACATGCAACTCTGATATGAAGCATTTCAGATAAGAGACATTCATCTGCATTTGAGTAGATTGTAAAAATGAAAAGCTATTCAAATGTAAGAATTTTAAGTGTAAATTTTTAAATACCGTTTATAGGCATCTACTTGGAGGGAAATTACATTGTTCGAAGGTTGCTCTGGTTGTGGAGAAGGAGGTGAGATTGAGTCAAGCAAAACAAAGTGCCTCGCTCTCTTGGAGTATTATATAGTGCTGCAGAGTCTGGGATAGGAGGATGAAACATATCAGCCTAGCACTTACCTATTATCCCAGCACTCAGGAAGCAGAGACAGGCGGATCTCTGTGAGTTTGAGGCCAGTCTGGTCTACAAAGCAAGTTTCAGGACAGCCAGGGCTACACAGAGAAACCCTGTCTTGAAAAACAAAACAAAAGACTCTTTTAAAATTATTTCGCAGGCTGTTTTGACTTATATTTAAATCAAACAATAAAACAATCTGAGAAAGATCTACAGGGCTGACTTAAGGAAAATGGGAGTGTTACGTCCTCTCTGGTATTGCAGTTAGTTAACGTCGTGGCATGGGTGGAGCTTTGTGGACCACATACACAAACATGTACCCTTGCAAGCCTGCTCTTCATGTCTGCAGGAAAAACATTTGGGACGTGCTAAAGAGTTACAACTTCCAGGATGCTTCTGTGGACACTGCGTGGCCCTCAGAGCAGCCTGGTGTGAAGAGAGTTTGCCCTTTTCAGAGATGGCACAACTGAGGCCTAGGCAGAGTGTCCATTACTGTTTTGATTCTACATAAGACCACAGAGAAGGGCTGTTCACAGTGTTGTGCTGCCCTCCCACATGTGACCCAGCCCTGTCATCTGTCCATGTCTCCATATGTCTGAATATATACATTCCATTTACAAGATCATGACAAGTTGGCAGACTCTACATAGTACCTCAGGCTTCTTGCCATCCATCCCTGTCATAGATGGTGTTGCTGGAACCTCTCTGCCCTGGTTCCATTGATCAGAACACCATGGGTCCCAATAGCATGGAGGTGACATCAGTACCACTGCCCTTCTCAACCTGTGTCCTTTCACAAATTTAGCTCCTGACATTTTTATATTAAAAAATGCTACCAGATTAGAAACCCAAGTATAATTTGGGGTGTCACATTGTATGTTTGCCTCTGCCCCTTTCCCCCACTATGCATTAGCGTTTCACTGACCTTTTCTGAGGAGGAGCATTGTCAGTGTATCATGGTGCAGTAAGAAAGTGGCTGGGGGTTCCAGGTTTCCTTATGCAGGATCGCAACGACGATAGAAGCTGCCTTTTCCTTCTTATGGCCCATGACATCACACCGCTCCTAAATACTGCTGGAACAGGTTACATAACTTGTGTCATCTTTAGTTGTAGAATGTGAGCGAACTCGAAGCTCTCATCTGGGTTCGCATCTGTACCTTTTCCTGGGGTTCACCTGTGAATGATGTACCATGGGGCCCTCTCACTCGCTCTGAGCAGTGAACAGTTGCTTGTTTGCTCCATCACTACCTCTAGCCTCCACCAGTGTGTTGTTCCTCTCTATGTGGTGTGCTCAGCCTGTGGGACAGAGTTCAGCATCACCAGGATCTTCCTCTGGATGCCCCAGCTGACTCTGCTCCTGAGCTGCCACCTGCTAGAGCCTGCGGCTTGTACCTACCCGAGAGCAAAGTGCCTATCTCCATTTCTGAAGGCCCCTTAGCTCGTCTCCACCTGAGGAGAAGTGACAGTTCAGGCAAAGGACTCAATTTTTAACTTTCTTCTCCCAACACATTCACAGTCGGGGAGGCCAGGGTCAGTCTGTCACTGTTGGGCAGGCCCTGGGAGGAGCTGGTGGCCTGCCCAAGCTGTGTGTGACTAGGCTCATCCCATCTTCTTATCTCATCCTGGAGCTTCAAAGTATGTTACCTCAGAAAGCTCTACCTGTCCTGGTCCCCATCTGCTGAGAAACGTCCCATGCGTCTGCTTGTCTCTCTTCTTATCATTCATTGTTGGAGGTCTCACTGTGCCCTGTGCACGTTCCCTGGATCTCCAAATCCCCGAAGACAGAAATCAGCATTCACACTCCGTATGGGCACTGGAGTTGACATCTAGACTTTTCCTCCTCTCACAGTTTACATTGTTTCTGAGTTTCCAGCCATCTTTTCTTCCTTGCATTCCTTTACTGCCTCTTTTCCTTCGTGTCATTCTTCATAGAAGTTGCACTCCTCACTTTTATTGCTGGTAACATAATACGAAATCCACAAGTTGCAGGATAGGTATAGTGACAGTGAAGAAAGAAGTAGCTGCTGGTGGTGATATATTCCTATAATCCCGACTCTTAGGAGGCCAAGCCAGAAGGATTTCAATCTTGAAGCTATCCCGAGCTACATCTTGAGTTCCAGTCCAGCCTGGAATACACAGTGAAACCCTTTCTTATCCAGAGAGAGAGAGAGGGAGAAGGAGAGGGAGAGGGAGAGGGAGAGGGAGAGGGAGAGGAGAGGAGAGGAGAGGAGAGGAGAGGAGAGGAGAGGAGAGGAGAGGAGAGGAGAGGAGAGGAGAGAGAGAGTTGAGAGATTGCTCAGTTGTTAGAAGCACTGGCTGTTCTTGCAGAGGATCTGAATCCAGTTCCCAGCTACCACATAATGACTTGAAACCATCTGTAACTTCAGTTTTAGAGCATCCTGCACCTTCTTCCAACCTCCACAGGCACCAGGCATGCACACAGTACACATAACAGACATGCAGGCGAGATATTCAAACACATAAGATGAAAAGAGATCTTTACAAAGAAAAGACGGAAGAACAGGGAAGTATCAAATACTCATGTGCGTGATGTCATAGGCCTCTGAACTGCATGGCTCGCCAGCCTCCCAGGAGGTGTCCTAGAGCTGGCATTTGTATTTGGATCTGTGGTTTTGATCATCTAGGACAAGGACTTTTTTTATTCCCGTGAGACAGGTTTTCTCTGTGTAACATCTCTGGCTGCCTTGGAACTGCTTTGTAGACCAGGCTGGCCCTGAACTCACAGAGATCTCCCAGCCTCTTACCTCCTGATGGGACAAGGATTATTTGGTCACATATAAGCCAGTTACCAGATCCCAGGACTATGACTGGCATTTGGGGGGTTCATAGTTGTTGTAAGACAATAGGTCATATTTAAACCCATTGCTTATTGAAAAAAAAAAAAAACCTTACAAGTCAATTACTTAGAAAAACTAGGCTTTGCTGTTCTATCACTGGCCAACCAAGTGTTTTGTGCAGGTCCAGACAGACCAAGGGCTCTGCTTAGCCAGCCGGCTCCTCTACACACTCTGCTCCATCAGCTCTTCCCTGTGCTAGTGAGCAATCCTGTCACAGAAGTGATCTCCAGCTGCCCCAGAAGTCACTTATCTGTCTTGTGTTCCTATGGTTGTTATGGGCCCGACCCTGTGCAATGTAGTCTTTGCTGTTTTCTCATTGTTCTTGTTTCTTTAGTCTTTTCTGTGGTCTTCGTCATCGTGTCCTTTTCTGGCTTTTTGCTTGCCGACTTACTGGATGTAACAGTCTCCTAAGTCAGCGCTAACCTCTTAGCATCGGTTGGGGTCAGCTGTCTTTGACAGTTTGACAGGTAAGAGACACAGTGACTGTAGCAGTTAGTTTGCTGATTCCGTGCCCAGAAAGCTCTACTTGAAGCTGCAGGTTTGACCCTGTCTTCTCTGGAGACCCACACCTCTTCTGAATTTTAAGAAAAAAGAACAGCTTAGAATGGGAAGCATCTATCGCTAGGATTATTTAGTGTTTCTTGGAATGTTTCTTGATAATACTCAACCTGGTTGTGATCATGGAATATGTGGGTTTTAGTTTGCAGTTAACATGTTTCGAACCTTGCCACCTTCCTCCAATCCTACGGGAGCAGAATTCGACCCAGAAGAAGATGAACCAACGTTAGAAGCAGCCTGGCCTCATCTGCAGGTACTGGACTTGGCACCAGCCCTGAGAGAATGGTGTATGCCATGTGGGTAGTGGCCCAGGGCCTCTTTTTAACTGTTGACCAACAGGATTCTGACCTAAAGGAATCTCTTTTTAGCAGAGCAGAGAGGTGGGAGAAAAGAGATTGATTGGTTGACTGATTGATTGATTGATTGATTGATTTTATGAAAGCCCATTGCACAAGCTACAGACTTACTTCTCTGTCCTCAGTGATGAATTCTAGCATTTCTAATAATACTGAATTTGGGGTTTGTCCTAGTTAGAGCTGCTGTGATGAAATACCGTGACTAAAGCAACTTGGAAAGGAAAGGATTTATTTGGCTTAGGCTTCCACATCACTGTTCACCATCAAAGGACATCAGGACAGGAACCCAAAGCAGGGCAGGAACTTGGAGGCAGGAGCTAATGCAGAAGCCATGGAGGGGAGCTTCTTAATGGTTTGCTCATCATGGCTTGCTCAGCCTGCTTTCTTATAGCACCCAGAACTACCAACCCAGAGGTGGCACCATCCATAATGGGCTGGGCTCTTCCTCATCAATCACTAATTAAGAAAATGCTCTACAGGCTTGTGTACGGCCAGGTCTTAAGAAAGCATTTTCTCAGTCAAGGTTTAGAGCATTTCCCAAGTGTATTTGCAGTTTGCAGTGAATGCGTTTAACCTAATGTCCCTGTGCATCCCAGGCTCCTTGCTGACAAATGATATGTTAAGTTGGGAGCATAGCCCCAGATAGTTCCCCACACACCTGTGAGGTACTAGGGTGACTGGTTATGAGGCCAGCCCAAGCAGAGCATTTACATATGTCCTTGGTGAGGAGGCGAAAAAAAGAAAAAATGGAAAAAAAAAAGAAAAGAAAAGAAGGGAGGAGCCAAATGTTCTGCCCTTAAGGCATCTGACTTGCACACAGTTTAGGACAGACCATCCATGCTGTCCAGCCAACTGTGCTGTTTATTGACAAAGGGAACCCAGTGGCTGTGGTTCAGTGTCTGTTTTTGTGTTCCTCTCCCAGGCAGTCCTTAAGTTCTTGTCTCCCTAGAACTCCATGATATATGTAGATAGCATTCTGCAGATCCCACCCCCAAGCTTAGTCATGGTCCCAGGTGTCACAACTGCGCACCATGGGAAGCACTGTGTGCCATTTAAGAGATAGTCTGTGGTTCTCACTAAATAAATAATTCTATCTGCAGTTATAATTATGCTAAGCCACACAATTCAGCATTAATTTTGAATGCATGTGTGTTTTTAAGTCTAGTATTTTCAAGCAAATAAAGACTGAATTTGAGGTGGTCTTAATCCAACTAATAAAGTGCCATATTATCTGACTTCTTGTTTTTTTTTCCTCCTAGCTTGTTTATGAATTTTTCTTAAGATTTTTAGAGTCTCCAGATTTCCAGCCCAATATAGCAAAGAAATATATTGATCAGAAGTTTGTATTACAGGTGAGTTTCCCCAGCCAGGTGTTCCTCAGCAGCCTTAAGTGCAGGATGGTCACTGTCACTAAGTGCTATGTTTTTTTTAAAGCTTCTAGAACTCTTTGACAGTGAGGATCCTCGGGAGAGAGATTTTCTAAAAACTACCCTTCACAGAATCTATGGGAAGTTCTTAGGTCTGCGTGCTTACATCAGGAAACAGATAAATAATATATTTTATAGGTAAGTCCTCGTGTGGTTGCTACCCACCCTCAAGGCTGTCACATCAGAGACAGGGGAGGGGAGCTGAGCAGTGTGCTAGTCATGTGCAGGTGACCCTACCACACCACCACACTGTACCTTGTCTCTCTGTGTTCCTCTGTGCAGTTTTGACTGCTTGGTTCTGTTAGTCCACCCTTGCTTCTCCTCCCCAATGTCTTACCACACACTACCCTTGCTTGAGTTCCTGTAGAACTGTCCAGTTGTCCTGAGTGTGGGTGGGCTGACCCTGACCCATTCACCTGCTTTTTACCGTATTATTGCTGCTCAGTCACAAGAAGACAGGAAGAGGGAAGGAAGTAGTCAGCCTTTGCCTGGGAAGATCTGTGAATTAGTTGAGCAGTTTGAGGGCCAACCAAGCAGAGAGAGGAGAGAGCCCTGGCGGCAGACAGAGCAGGACAACTTTCCTATATACCCAAACCTGTCCTGTCAGCCTCTAGCTCGGAAAGGACATCTCAAACCCTTCAAGTGTATTGATAGCCATCCTTGTCTCATCTCTGACCACGCCTCATGATTCTTAAGGTCTAACATTCCAGGTGTGTGTGAAGGTTCACGCCTATAATCCCAGGCCTTGGGAGGTGGAGGCAGAAAGATTGCCATAGCTCAGATGAGTCAGGGCTACATTCACATGGTTGTACCACTGCTGCTATCTGATCAACACCGCTTCCTAGGCTACCTCTGTGCTTCCAGGTTCTGCCCAATCTCAGTCTGTGCAGCCATGTGTCATTCCAGGTTGTCCTGTCTGCCCTTGCCTTGCTTTGAGCCCTCAGACCTGCTTCCCCAAGCAAAGTTCACCTGAGCTGACATGGCCCCTCCTCCCCAGGAGCAGCCTCAGTGGCGCAGTGTTACAGAATGGGTGCTGGTGGAAGTCTGTGTAGCTCTTTTATGGAATAGTCTCACCTTGTAGCCCTGGCTAGCCTATATCCTCCTGCTTCTGCTGAGGTGAAGGGTGTGTGTCACTGCTCAGCCTGGTTTGTGTAGCTTTCTTCTTAGTACCAAGAAAACTTACTGAGGTTATCTTGTAATTGTTGGCTTCTTGGGTTGACTTTCTGCTCTCAGATATCTGATTCCAGGGAAGCCTAAAAGTAGCAAATCTTAGCAGTGATAGAAACAGTATGATATCCATCTGATGTAAAGTAAATTTCACACAATCTAGCTATGGGGCAGGGCGTGCTTATGCCTGCCTGGTCCTTCTTCCCCACGGTGACAGAAAGTGGCCAAGAAAGGGGAGCTGAGACAGTGAGACTGAGCAGCCTATGTGGTCCTTCTGGTCCTTCCGGCCTGGTGTATCCCTGCAGTTGAATCCTTTGCCTGATGGCACATTGTGATATTGGGGCCTTCACCATGTGTCTTCCCTTTGAGCCCCTTTCAGGTTCCTCCTAATATATAATGTTTCTGTAATGGAGCCCAACCCAGCCCTGACTTGCTCTGATTATAGTGAGGGAGTGATGTCAGCTCCTACATATTCAGCTCCTGTTTTTCACTTCTTGGTGCTCTGATTTCTCGCAAGATCATTACTCAGCTGATGTCATTCTCTACACAGAATGGGTACAACTTAAATTCCAGTCTGTTAGCCCTGAAATTCACGCTCTGGCTATAGTGTTTTGTTTCCTCAGGACTAGTGGTTTTGGTCAGGCAGCAGAACCCCAAATCCGTTAGCACCTGCCGTGTGGAAGTGGAAATGCCTCCTGCTGCAGAGAGCTTACCTTGATTACTGAGGCGCTCAGCTCCTTCCTTATTCAGAGTACATCCCACGATCCAGTTCAGTTCTCTCAAATGGATGAGGGTGCAGTTGGCACTTCTGTGTTTCCTCCCTTAGGTCATCTCTTCTATACTTATCTTTATATATGTGTGCTCCAAAGCGAGCATGTTACTTAGAATCCCTAATTGGCTTGGCTCTTTTGTCGTTGTTTCATGTGAAGAGAGTCAAATAGCTCAGAGTTTCCCAGATCATGGAAGTCCTATGCATGTTGAGTATCCTGACCCAGAAATCCACACACTTAAAAATTTGAATACTTTTGGTTGTGAGTCTTTAACAGCTGAGCCATCTCGAAAAAAAAACAAAAAAGGAGAAAACAGTTGACATTTTGAGCACTTGCATGATGCCACAGTGGAAAATTCCACACTTGATTTGTGGTTCATGGTTAAAATGCAAGAGTAGCCAGGTATGGTGGCTTTTGTCTACAGTCGCAGCTCCTCGGGAGGTTGAGTCAGAAGGATCATTTGCACCTAATAGTTACTTGCATACCAGCTTGAATAGCGTAAAGAGAGCCTGTCTCCAACCTAAAAATATTACATAGCATTACTTTCCAAGAGTATTTGCATAGAGTAATTGAATTTTTGGTTTTAGCTTGAATCATAGCCCAAAATATAGCTCATACATATGCAGATGTGAATCTGAATGATCCCTAATATTGTATGCTGCTGTTCCGGAGCATCCCAGGTTCTTAATCCACACCTATATCTTGTAAGAAAAGGCACTTTTAAACAATTTGGTTCAACTTACTAGAAGCTACGATTCCTACTTGTAATTTCTCAGTGAGTTGGTTTACTAGCGTGAGCAAACAGTGACCCCAGGGCTGGTTTTAATAAGCAGTGCACTGGAGGATGGCCAGTCAGCAGAGCAGCCAGACCTTGTCTTGCTGCCCCACCCGGTGCCACGGCTTACATCACCACCTGTGATTCCTCAGTTCTGTCCTGGGCCTGGGCTCAGCAGAACTGCTGTGCTGCCACGGTGTCATCTAGGGCAGAGATACCCTGGGTGGCTTCTCACTACTGTGCATCCTCTTATGAGCACCAGCTGCCTCCATGGGAGTCAGGAGAAGCTCCCAGCCTCCTCAAGGGATTAGCCCCAAATTAGTGCCCCTTACTTCCATCTCTGGTATTGTCAAGGCAAGCCACAAGACAGTTCAGCCTCACAGGAAGGGAAGTAGATCCTGCCTCTTGGTCCAAGGTGCAGAACACATCCAATGGGAGACTGCTCTGAGCAGCAGTTCCAGCCCAGGTTCAGATCAGTCTGGGCTTTTGCTGTAGAGTGAGGAGCACTCCGTCTTGCTCTGATGTCTGCTCGGCTTCCCAGACTGTCTTCTCTGGGAACTAGTCCCCTTCTCTCTCTACACAGTGAGCTAAAGGTGCTTAGACAGAGGCTCTCATAAAATAATACTAATGTGAAAACCACGTGGCTTACAGTGACCACCATCCTCCCACAATATGCAAGAAGGCTGAGCAGCAGGGCCCAAGGGTCACTGTGAGCTGTGTGCAAGGGTGCTGCACCAGCTCAGAATTATAACCGTGGGTAAAACCTGTGAAGCAAGAGGAAACCACTTTCCTGCACTGACTCCCGCAGACTCACTGATAGGCCACTTCTGTGCTCTGGGGCAGGGGTAGGAAGAGGTCAGCAGGAAGCAGATGTGACACACATTCTCACGACCACAGCCAGTCCTCTGGCAGTGCCCTCACAGCTACACTTTTAGACTACAGCCAAGCATGTCTTCATGTTTCTGTGTCTGGCTGCCAGTGGCCTTGGAGCCTGCCCATGTGCTGTCCAGGCTATCATCCTGTCTCACCTGCATTCACAGACCCTGTCCTCTCCCCTCTGTGTGGATCTGTCAGTACCTTCCTTGGGGCTTAGTAAGTAAGAGCCATCAGGGAGGCCTGACCATTTGAGAATACAGAATTGGAACTCACTCTGTAGACCAGGCTGACTTCAAATTCACAGAGATCAGACTGCCTCTGCCTCCCAATGCTGGGATTAAAAGCATGCATCACCACTGCCTGTACTTTAAGGTTACTAGTCAGTTTGTCTCGGGACACTGATATTTGGGCCAGACACTTTACTAAGCAGCTGCTGAGGGAGGCTCTCTCACCGATGGGTGGGGGCCACTTCTACCATCACATGTCCAGAGTGCACTACCCTGCTGCTGTAGACCACCAACAACCAAGTAGCTAGGGTTCAGTTTCCATGGGACTCCTGCAGGGGGGCAGGGGTTGGTAGACATTCCCCTGTTCCCTATTCTTGTCCCCAGTTCGCTCACCAGACTGTTTAAGAACTACACAGATGCCAGGCTTGGTCCTAGTATCAGGAACACATTCACAGGAAGTCCTTGTCCTTATCTGGAGGGAGACAAGCTGGCACAGAGAGTGGGGTGCATATTTCCAGAGCTCCCTTAGGAGTCTGTGTTGGGTATGATGGACAGAGAGCACTTAGAAGAAGAGAAGTGGACTGCACTTGGAACTGGTGTTGGGGAAACAGGGACATAGGGAGGAGGGCAACATGGGTATTCAGAGAGGAGCCTCTAACCATGGCAGGGAGTGTGCTGGAGATTGGAGGCTTTAAAACTGAGTAAGACATCACCTCATGTTGAAAAGCTGCAAAGAAACAAGATGGATTAGAGGCTAGGATAGAAGGCTAGATAGATGTGAACACAAGGCAGACAGCATGCAAACTGCCATAGCCTGAGACTGCTGGTCAGAGCACAGGTGTTAGCTGTGAAACTTCTTCAGCTTTCCTGGATACTTGAAATTTTTCAGAATAAAATGTTGGAAGAAATTGGGCTACACCGGCTGTCTTCCCTCAAGGGTATTCCGTTGTAGGCTTTCAGGGCTTTGTGGGCTCTGAAAGTACCTGAACATGTCCCGGAAAGGTGTCAGCACGGCACTGCTGGTTCCTCGGTTCCTCCTGTAGCCTTTGAATTTCCTTGTTCAGATTGTTGTCATGTCTGCAGCTTTTACTCAGGGTCCAGTGCTGATGACATATTGTATGTTCCAGGTTTATTTATGAGACAGAGCATCACAATGGCATAGCAGAATTACTGGAAATACTGGGAAGGTAAGTTCCTGTCACTGACAGTGCATGCCTGCAGCTAGAGCCAACACCAGATGATCTTACTCATTGACTTGACTCCTCCCAGAGCACAGCCGCTCAAGCCAGGTCCTGAAAGGACGGAAAGAGAGTTTCACGTAAGGAGAAGGAAGGTTGATTAACTCACAGATCAGAGTGCATGAACAACAGCTTCTGTCTTTGTGGCTCCATAGGCAGAGCCCTCTTCATACACCTCAATCTATTACTATGGAAGCTATGGAATTTCAACTTTTTCCCTCGAGTAGTATTAAAAATAGTTATAGAAGAATGTTGGTATTAAAGCTTATTTGAAGAATAGATTATATGCATGAGGTGTTGAGTAAATATTTGGCTAGTATTTTAAATTGTCTCAACCTGTTGACTTTTCATATATATATATATATTATGATTCAATTTTTTATCATCTTAAACTGAGTAAAGTTTTTACTTATTTTTTTAAATGGCCTGTAAATATAAGATTCCCTGACCCACTATTTCCTGAAAGATTTCATCTTGGAGTGGAGCTAAGAGGAAGGTCGACCTGGACAATGCTCTCCCCAGTGCCTCTAGGGGAATCCATGGGCATTATTAGCACCTTAAAGTTCTGAGTTGCTCTAAAGTGGAGACACCCAGTATATATAGAATCCAGTGGCTCCCTACAGCCTCTGAACCTGTTGTCTTTGTGTGCCCCCCTCAACACACACACACACACACACACACACACACACAAGGAAACTGTTGTCTGGTAGATCTGGTCCCTCTCAAGCTGCTGCTAAAGATGTGATTTGAAAAAAATGGCTGTACCTAGGTTGGTCTGTCCCTCGAGGCCTGGCTTACTTAGTATGGCTAAGGGTGCCTCTCCCAGTCATATGACCTTGGGCAAGTTCCTTCTGTGAACTGGAAAGAAAGCTGAGTTTCCTTCTGGTGTTTCCCTCTGCCATGTATCAGAAGTGTTGTCTTTTCAACCCTTCCTCTAACACAGGGTTCCCCCGGGTTCCCCTGCAGATGTGCTCGTCACCCTTGGTGGGTACGGTGCAGCATGACTGGAGGACCAAGTTACCACTGTTCTGACTCTGGCTCTGGGAAGCATCTCTTCTCTTTGTCTAAGCACAAAACCACGTAGATAGGCCAGTTAATGTTCAGTTTGGTGTCCCTTCAGTGGTATGCCTTTCCTACAGAATGAACAGCAGCCAGTCTGCACACAGGAGGTGAGAGTGGAGGGACACTCCAGGTCACACGAGGATAATGATCTGGAATTACCCCAGGAATGTAGACGTCTTAAAGAAAAGTACTGGGCGGGAACACCTGGATCTCGTCATTGTCCCCCAAGCTGCTCAGTTTCCTGCTGTTTTCTTCCCTCTGTGCTGCAACTTAAATCCCAATACAAAAAAGATTAAAATGGCTGTGCTCCTGGAAGGCCTTTTTATTGTAGCTCTTATTCCTTTCAGTGTCCTCTTTATTCTGAAATATTTTGCCCATTGGCTTTTCATGCTGAAAACAAAAACTGAAAGAACAAGATACCTGACTATAATCTGGAATGTGTAAATACTCAAGCTGGATTCTCTTTTCACAGTATAATTAATGGATTTGCCTTACCACTAAAGGAAGAGCACAAGATTTTCCTGTTAAAGGTGTTGCTGCCCTTGCACAAAGTGAAATCTCTGAGTGTCTACCATCCCCAGGTAAGGCCAGCTGAGTACAACTGCACACCTCTGCAGTGGTCCAACCGTTTGTGGGAGTGATTCCTTTCCCATATCACTGGGAGAGGGGTAGGGAGATGGTTTAGTTATATAAATGTTTGCCATCAAGTGTGAGGACCAGAGTTGAGATCCCCAGAACTCCCATAAATGGCAGATAGCATGATGTGCTAGGCCACCTGTGCATTCAACTTCAGAAGGTAGAGGCAGAATCCCAGGAGCAAGCTGGCTAGCTAGATTGACAATGTAGCTAGCTCCTGGTTCAGTGAGAGAAACATTGCCTCAATGATACAAGGTGGAAAGAATCGAGAAAAACACCCAATGTCGACTTCTGGCCTCCGTGCGTTCATACACATGAACGTTTGTAGTCTTGCACATGCACAAACATCACACAGACTTATGCATACAAAAAAGAAAGAAGCTGGGCGGTGGTGGCACATCCTTTTAATCCCAGCACTCAGGAGGCAGAGGCAGGCGGATCTCTGTGTTCTAGGCCAGCCTGGTCTGCAGAGCAAGTTCTAGGACAGGCTCCAAGGCTATACAGAGAAACCCTGTCTCAAAAAAGAGAGAGACAGAGAGAGAGAGAGAGAGAGAGAGAGAGAGAGAGAGAGAGAGAAGAGAAGAGAAGAGAAGAGAAGAGAAGAGAAGAGAAGAGAAGAGAAGAGAAGAGAAGAGAAGAGAAGAGAAGAGAAGAGAAGAGAAGAGAAGAGAAGAGAAGAGAAGAGAAGGGCAGCGTTGGGGGTGGGGGGAGATTCAGGAAAATCTCCGGAATATAGATTGTATCGAGACAGGAGGGTCCACTTTGAGAGGAAAAGAGGCTTCTTATAACATGTTCTAAACCTAATGTCTTAAAGACCTGTGACAACTTGTACAAACTGGATTTTTTTAAAGTGCAGCAGTCTAACTGTAATTGTGCTGGAACCTTAGTTGCTGGTTCCTGACTAGTTTCTATCTGTCTGTATTTGAATCTGTTTCCAATAGACAGAATTTGAGCTATGCTGAGTCTCAAAGGGTGGCCACTCTCATTTGCAGCCCATAATCCTTTACTCTTGCCTGCTACATGGCTGAACACAGAATAGGATGTCATATGTGTTAAGAACACATGGACAGAAGGATGGAGAGTTGACTCAGCAGTTAAAAGCACTGGCTGTGCTCCCAGAGGCCTGAGTTTGTTTCCCAGCACCTGTCAGGGTCCGGTGCTTGTCCGGACCCTAAGTTATTTCTCTCTGGACCGGACCCCAACATAAACGATCTCTCTTGACCGGCATGGAGGCGTGGGAATAAAGACACAACTCACATGGCAGCTAACAACCATCTGTAATCTCTGTCCCAGTGGATCCTTTTCTGGCTGCTGTAGACACTGCATGTCCATGGTGCACAGTTACATATACTCATAAAATAACATAAAAAAGTTTACACCCCCCATACACACACGTGTCCCCAAGTGGGGGAGAAGAAGAGCACGTGGCGGCTGTGGTGTAGTAGGGGAGTGCTTGTCACGTGCAAGGTTTTAGGTTCTGTTCCCAACACTGCAAGAAAACAGAGCCCAAAGATTCTTATCAAAGCTTATAGCTCATAACTATAATCTCAGCATTCCGGAATCTGAGGCAGGAAAATCATGAATTTGAGGCCAACCTGGGCTGTATATCAAGACCTTGTCTAAAAATTAAAAATCAAATGGAGATTTTATTCTTGAGAGCTCCTTGGAAGTGGGTGGCATGGGATACATTACAGAGAGGACATTCTTTTGTTAATTGACTAGCACTGGCGTCCTAGGAAATATCCACTTGTTGTCGGGTAGGCATCACATGGCAGCAGGTCCAGTTGGCCTGTTATCATATCCATTGTTGAACAAAAGCTGTTCATGGTGGTGCACACCTATAGTCTCAGGACTCTGAGACTGAGGCAGGAGGCTTGCAGCAAAACTATCTTAAGGGAAAATAAAGAATAAATAGCTCAGAAATTTCTGATAGGTTGCCAAAATAAAATTTTTCCAGTTATTATATTACTTGCCCATTCTAATCTTCAAAAATGCCATGCGCACACACACATCCCTCATTACACTTGGTTGATTTGTTGGTAGTATCTGAAAAATTTCTCCTGGTTTTTATCATTCTTGGGAGTGAGCATAGCTATGAAATCTGTCAGAAATGGATAGGGAAAGAATTATCTGTCCACTGAGCATCAGCCCCAAAGGTGCTTCCCTGAAGTTCCTCTCAGAGCATTATGGGTGTTAGTCGTGGCGGTCATGCGCAGTGTTTCCACCACACCCAGCCATTTTCCCCAGGCTGGTGTTTGAGGTTGGTATAGAAGCATTTCTGTGCTGAAGTGGCTTGCTGACGCTCTCTCCCCCGTCCCTTCCAGCTGGCGTACTGCGTTGTGCAGTTTTTGGAGAAGGACAGCACCCTCACTGAACCAGTAAGTGCTCTCCTGGGCCCTGAGCACCCGGCATGCTCACTCCTGGGTTGGAAGTTTGAGTGTGGTAATTTGGCTGCAAGTTCCTTTACTGCAATAATGGTTTTCTGGAACAGGCTTGCCACCTTGTCTCTTACCGCTTGGCAATCCTTGGAACATGGCATCTGAGTAGCTGTGGACACCAGCCTGGGCCCAGTTTAGTCCTCCATATTTGACAGCACATGTCCTGACTCACTCACACGCACTGAAGTGAGAGGCTAAGTCACTTGTTGTACTCGGGGATTCTTTCTGTTCTGGAAGTTTTTTCTAAGTTAGTGTTACTATTTTACAGTCACTGAGCAGCAAGTGAAGGCTACGCTGCTGACTTTTAGGTTGGATTTCTAATTGGTATTTTATCTTTATTAAATTTTATTTTATTTTGGCTGGGCGGTGGTGGATCACACCTTTAATCCCAGCCCGTGGGAGGCAGAGGCTGGCAGATCTCTTTGAGTTCTAGGCCAGCCTGGTCTACAAGAACTAGTTCCAGGCAAACTCCAAAGCAACACATAGAAACTCTGTCTTGAAACCCCACACACACACAAAAAAAAAAAATATTTTATTTTATTCTTTTGGGTTTTTTGAAAGAGGTTTCACTGTGACTTATAGCTCTGGCTGTCCTGGAACTTGTTTTGTAGACCAGACTGGCCTTGAACTCAGAGATCTTCCTGCCTTCGCTTCTTGAGCGCTGGGATTAAAGGTGTGCACCACCACCACTAAACTATCTTTACTAATTTTTTTTTAAATTTAATTCCTAGCATCTCCACTAAAAATCAGCCAAAAACGTAGCCAAGGTTAACAAAATATGTCTTGTCAGATGTCAGCCAGAATAAGTATTTGAATTCACTTTTTAAAAATAAGCTAAGATACAGTTTATAGCCCACGCAGTTCATCTGTTTACGGTATATGGTTCAAGCCAGCTGTGGTAGCTCAGGAGACTGAGATGGGTAGATTACCATGAGTTTGGGGTCAGCCTCAGCTATATAACAAGACCCTGTTTCAGAGAAAGAGGAGCTGGCGAGACAGCTCAGTCGTTAAGAGCACTTGTTGCTCTTTCAGAGGTTAGTAGCACACAGATGGTGGTTCACAACTGCCTGTAACTCCAGCTCCAGGGGATCAGACACCATATTCCCAATCTCTGCAGGCATTCGCATGCATGAGCACATTTGCATGATCACTCAGGTTTCTTTGCCCAACATGCACACACACACACACACACACACACACACACTCCTTTTAAAAGAAAAGGAATTCCACCTGCTCTCACTACTGCTTTTATAGTAAGAAATCAAAGACATAGAAAAGGTATACTGTTTTAGCTCATGATTTGTGTGTGTGTGTGTTTCTCATATTCTGTGATAGCTAGAGAATTCACCAAGTGTTAATCCACCTTTGTCACATACAGGCTTCTCCCTCCCAAAGCACCTCTGCCTGCTGAACCCTGTCCCAGCCTGACCCCAGGCGTATTTAGCCCAGATGGACCGTTTCCTCGGCCATCTGTGCAGAACTGCACCCAGGTGACAGTTCTAAAGTTTCTGTCCCACTAAAGCAGTGTCATGACTGATGGGTGAGCTTCACTGCAGGAGGGAGAGACAGCCAGCATGCTGTGTCACATAAACATCGACTGCCAGCCTCTGGCAGGACCCTGTACAGACAAGCTACAAGTCGCACACACTCGGTGTAGTGGCTCCATCCCGAACTGTTGTTTGATAGTTCCTGCTGAGAGATGACAGAACATCACTGTCCAGCTACAGAAAGCAGAGCTTATCTTCAGTATATGCAAAGCCTTCAGACTCATCTAGCAAATTTCCTCCTTTGAAATGCCCATTTTATGAAAATGTCTGATTAGTGGTGAGCACTTGTTAAGATGCAGGTGTGGACTGGAAAGGAGTGTGTACACTCAGCACACAGATGTGGACTGGAAAGGAGTGTGTACACTCAGCACACAGATGTGGACTGGAAAGGAGTGTGTACACTCAGCACACAGAGACCTGCTTTGCTGCCCCGGGGCTCCTAAGTCATGTCAGTTACTGCAGTCAAATTCCCAATAAAAGATGAGTTAGGGGAAGGTTGAGTCTGACTCATGGTGTGAGAGCACAGCAGCGCTGGGGCTGCAGAGCGTGTAGCTTAGACTCCTTGGTCCCGGCAGTCAGGAAGCAGAAAACAGGGAAGGCCAGAACCAGCTGCCCTCCTCCTTTCTCAGTTGTTACTCAGTCTAGGACCCAAGCCCCTAGTGGTGTCACCAGCACACAGGCAAGTTATTCCTCTGGAAAAGTCCAAAGAGACAAACCCTCGCGTGCCTCATTGATGCCTTACGTGTTCCTTAAACCAGTTAAACTGACAGTGGAAATTGCCCATCACAGTGTTCCACTTCAAAGACTGCAGCCTATAAAGGGCATGACTGTAGAATGGATACTTTTCATGTACTCCAGCGTGTCCTGGGCACATTAGATGTATTTACTATTTACTTTGTTGCCAGGATAGAGGCTCGTGGGAGATTTTACACAACTGTGTCTGTTTTTGCCTGTCTGTCTCCTTCAGCTAATAGAATGTCCCACGGTCTTGGCAGCCACTACTTTGCTCTTACACAAGGACATGCTCCCCAGGACTCAAGGCAGGACTCCTGGCATGCTTCCCCCACCCCACAAAGGGACCATGCCGTGAACCTGGAGCCTAAAGCTGCTGTTGTCTAGCCTTATAATGCCTGCCCCACGCACACAGCCCAGAAGATTGGGCGCTGCTCACAGTAGTGAGGTCCCAAAGATCAGGAAAAGTCCAGGGTGATTCAGGAATTAGGAGTTTTCCAGCAAATCAGTTCAAATTGGTGGTGCTGTGTAGCTCCTGCATGACTTTAAAGACATGCTGGGCCGTGGTGTGCATTCCCTAAATCCCAGTACTCAAGAAGCAGAGGCAGGCAGATCTCCAAGCTCCAGGACAGCCTGGAACTACAGAACAAGTTCCAGGATAGCCAGAACTACCATAGAAACACTGTCTCAGGAAAACCAATGAATAAATATAACATACATACATACATATTAAAACTTTAAAAATTAAACCAAGTTATAAACAGTATGAACTGTTTGCTTATTTCTCTTAACGAATTTCTTTTTGTGGGTCATTAAGGTAGCTCAGTGGATAAAGTGTTTGAGGCTAAGATTGACAACATGGGTTCAATTCCTGGGGCCCATATGGTGAAAGGGAGAGAACCAGTTCCTGCAGGCTTTCTTCTGACATTCACACATAAAATAAATGTGATGAAAAGGAACTTTTTATCTATAGAAATGAAACCATAGGATGGGCTTCATGCAGTGCTTTGTTCAGACTGGAGCATTAAAGGGGAACGCTAACACTGTCGGGGCCACAAGCCCCGACTCCAAGAAAGCATACAACAAGGCATGCTTACTTCGGAAAAGGAGTGCTCTCTTCACAGCCTTGGTTTTGCCAGTTGTGTTGAGATGTCTTGAATCCTCAACCAACAGGAAACTCAAACTAGATCCCAGGGTGAGGGCTTCCTTTCCCATGTCTCTTTAGTTTTTAATCTTGCATCCTGCCTCACAGACAAGGCCTCACAGCTGCTTCAGAGGGACAAGTTGTACCTGTTCAGTTGCATGTGCATTGTGTACACACATGTGTCCTTACGACAATGTACCTGCTGGTACTCATTGTACTTATTCGAACTAAGGTAGCAAAACTGTAAAACTCGTTCATCTTCATTGACTCAGATCCAGTGTTTTCTGCTGGTATAATCTGGTAAGACATTTTGAAAGTAAAGAAGGATACTTAAAGTTTCCTAGCAGACACTCTTTATAACTGTCTGAAAGGCGAAGAGAATAATGTTCAGTAGCCACAGACTAGGAAAGCACTGTGACCTCATAGCGTTCAACTCCCTGGCTTCAACTAAATAGCATTGCTCCCCATCAAGGCCATGGCTGCCATGTGCTTCCTTCCTACCAAGCACTTGTTCTTAAGCTTCAGGTAACCACACAGAGCATCATGACCCCAGCTCGGGTCCAGCACCTACAGTGAATGCAAACTTACATCTGCCTCATTGACAACACCTTTTTTGGTATATTTTAACAAAGTTGGAAACAGTGTATGTGTGTGTGTGTGTGTGCGCACATGCACATATACATATCCACAAATAGTTAACTTGAGAAGTGGATTGTGCATATGTGTGAATGTTGCTAGCAGTGTCAGAGCTGCCTGTTTCCACACTAGAACACAGTCTGTTTGGTCTCCACTGATGATCGGCGGGGGAATGGGCCACATTAAGCTGATGTTAAAATGTGTAAAACTAGACTGTTGATGAAAGAAAAGCATGCTAGTGCTGGTTCTCAGCGTTGTCTCCTGTGTTACTTTGCAGTGGGGACATCTAATGGAAGCACAGACATCTTCCTCTTGGGCATCTCTGGGCATCACTTCATTTGCCGCTTTGTTTTATAGGTGGTAATGGCTCTTCTCAAATACTGGCCAAAGACTCACAGTCCAAAAGAAGTAATGTTCTTAAATGAATTAGAAGAAATTCTAGATGTAATTGAACCATCAGAATTTGTGAAGATCATGGAGCCTCTTTTTCGACAGTTAGCCAAGTGTGTTTCCAGCCCTCACTTCCAGGTATGTATGCAGGTTTGGGTGATGGGTCAGGTGCTCCTGTTAAATGACATTCTTGGTATGAAGCTGCTTATACCCTGGTTCTGCTGTGATCTAAGGGTGAAATTCAATTTTTTTTCACTTGATATGTACTTCAAAATTAGATATTTAAATTTGAGCCAGGCAGGTCGACTTGTTCCAGTCATCCTAGTACTTGGGAAGCTAAGGCAGGAGAATTGCTACAAGTTGAGATCAGCCTGGGCTATAGAGAGACCCTGTGCACCCCCCCCCAAAAAAATAACATTTTAGTTTTGTGTAGTTTCAATTCTCTGACTCATGCTCTCATCACTGAAAATATATTCTTAGCAAGCCTGATTGGCAGCATTGTCTATAAAGCTCGGCATTCAAGTGTGACATGCTGTGGGGTTCATAGGGTCCTGTTTATCATAATTGAGTTGTCAAAGTCATGAGAATAACTCAACAGTAAAAACCTTCAACTCTGAAAATCTCCCTCTTCATACACGCTTCTTTTCTGGCACATAAGTTTATATCTCCTTACATCTTTTAAAAAATAGTATTCTGGGGCTGGAGAGATGGCTCAGAGATTAAGAGCACTGCCTGCTCTTCCAAAGGTCCTGAGTTCAATTCCCAGCAACCACATGGTGGCTCGCAACCATCTGTAATGAGGTCTGGTGCCCTCTTCTGGCCTGCAGACATACACACAGACAGAATATAGTATGCATAATAAATAAATAAATATTTTAAAAAAATAGTATTCTGATTTTTCTTACTACCATAATCCTGCTGGGAGGCTAGTGTCCGTCACTCACTTTCTACTCAAGTTCTCCGAGCTCCTTGGCTTTCCTCCCCTTCCAGCTGCTGTGTATGGTATGTTCATTACCAGCATGGTAAAGATGTAACAATCAGCAGAACCTTGGGCTCCAGGAAGCTGGTGACCCTGGAAGCCATAACCACTTAGGCACCGTGCAGGTGAGCACTCGGGACTTCATGAAGGGACCAGAGCCTTTGCCGAGTTAGGAAAGAGTTAGGACCAAGTTAGGAATCATTGGGACCAGCAACACTGAGACAAGAAAGCCCGATAGCTCTGCTCGGGGAGTGTGGTAGCCACCAGCCACCATATAGAAAGGCCAGGTTTGCTTCTGCTGTAGAAGAACCTCTAGTACAGGCTTTCCTGTTGCACACAGCTGAGCTACTGTTACTGTAGACATCCATGGGCATTTTATGTTTGAACTAGAACAGGAAAATTCTGTTTCCAAAGCTTGGAATGAGCAGTTTTTACAAAGGAGCACCAATGTTTAAGACTATCTGGATCTCCCCATCCCCACCTCAGGCCAAGGTACAGGTGTCAGAACCCCAGGAAGAGTCAGAGACACCAGGACTGTTTGGGAACCTGAACCTCCCCAGTGACAGAAAAATGCCTAAGTATATGGAAACCTAGTTTATAAGAGGTGTTGGATGCAAGGGATAAAGAGTTTGATTGGAATATCTCTCTACACAGGGAGACAATACTTCTCCCAGAAACCATTGACCATAGGGCAGAACATACTACTATCATTTTGTTAAACTGATAGTATTTAGCTGGCTTCTAAATACTTAGCCTTATATCCTTAGGTCAGCCCAGCTCACACCTTCATCAAAGAAGCTGCTTTTTGCAGTAGACAGAGGCTAACACAAAACCACAATTGATCAAAGTGCAGAGAATAAGTGACTGGGGTGCTTGCTGTCATATCCATATCCTATCACCTTCCTCCAGGGCTCAGGGAATGTCACAGAAGAGGTAGGAAGATTGTAGGAGTCAGAGGACAGGACACCTGCTTGGAACAGTATGTCTGGACAAGCTGTGGTTGCCACACAAGTCCTGCCAGGGCCAATATAGCCAATATTCCAGTATGGGTGGAGGCGTGGTTCACAAGGCCCCACTTATAGTTGAAAGGTTGCAGATAGTCAACAGCTGCTGGAAGAAGAGTCAGCTTTCTCAAGGAGGTTATTGCTACCACATTGGACAGCCTTCTACTCATGTGCATGTGGGCCACACTGATTAGACGCCACAGGTTTTATATACATATCTGTATATGCTATTGGTAGCTTTTTAAATCTTTTGAGACAGACTCTTACTTTGTAGCCCAAACTGACCTCAAACTCATCCTCCTGCCTCAAATTTCCAAGTGTTAAGATTACTGGTGCATGCTACCATAAAGTTTTCATGTAGGAAGAAAGCCCATGGATGGGAAGGTCGTATGCAAGGCATTGACTTTGTTTAGTGGGGAACAGTTGAGTGATTCGGGCCTGCTCGCCCCAGCTGTGCACAGGGGCCATTCCTCCCATAAGCAGTCCTGTCAAGAGCAAAGTATTTAGGGACACCAAGACAGTCTGCTCCAGAGATACACAGGCACTTCTGCTGGTGATTGCGACTGAAGGATTGCAGGGTTTGGCCACCCTCATTTTTCACTGGTAACCAGCCTCGCATCCCTCATTCACTGCCAAGACACTTTGCTCTTCCTTGTAGGGGCCGTCCCCATTTCTGCTTTCTTGATAGACCCAGGTCAATACCATGTACATTCTAGAATCTTCCAGAAACATGTGGCTAGTTCTTTCTTAATATCTAGATGTTTTTTCTATGCAATTTTTTTTTACACACACCCCCACCTCGCCTGGCCATCTTGGTAGCTTTCCTTGGTGGAGTTTGTACTGTACCTCAAGCAGGGAAATGGTGGCTGTAGAAGAGACAACATTTTTGGAGTCAGTCAACTCTGGACTCCCAACTTGTTATAAAAAATAGAAAGGGGCCAGTGAAATGGCTCAGCAGATCAAGGTGCCTGTTGCCAAGCCGGATAATCTGAGTTCAATACCTGGGCTCTACATGGTAAAAAGAGAGAACCAACTCCCCAGAGTTGTCCTCTGACCACACACACACAAAATCAATAAAGTCAAAAGTACATGTGGATACATGTGTTGGTACAAAGCAACTCTGAAGATGAGTAGACAGGACAGAGTGAGTTGTGCGTTGAAGAAATCTGAAATGGAGTACTGTGCCACCGTGGTCAAAAGCCAGCACCCAGTGGTAAGGTGGCAGTACTGTTGAACTGGGGAGAACAGGCAGAGGTCCTGAGTGTGCATGCGCTGCCACTGAGCCGGGAGACTGACATCATTGGAAACATGGCAGAGTAAACTGAAAGTTCTCTTTAACCAAACTGCCAGAGCTCGTTTCAAACAACTAAGTGCAGTAGTTAATCCCTGAACTGAGGCAGGAGGGTCACAAGTTCCAGACTACTGTTTCTCAAGGAGAAAAAAAAATTGTGTTAAAAGCTAAAACAGAATTTATAATTTGAGCCTTTAAGTACCCTGTCTTCTGTTTTCTAATGTGCAGTCTTGAAATATTATATCAAAAAATATTTATTGATAGATAAGTGTTCTCTCTTGTCTCTATGAGTTCAAAGCCAGCCTGGGCTATATGTCGAGCCCTAGGCCAGTCAGGGCAGCACAGAGACCCCCGCCCCCCGCCCCGTCTCAAAAATAAAGAAAAGAAAGAGAAGGTGTTGAGGCCTATCCAGTAAAGGTGCTTGCCTTGCAAGCCTGGTGGCCTGACTTCAATATCAGAACCCATGTGACTGGCAGTGGGGAAGAGAATGGACTCCGAGTTAGCCTTTACCCTCCATACACATCATAGCACATGCTCTCGTGTATATGTACATACAGTAAATTAAAATACAGAGCCAGCAAGATGGCTCAGCAGGGAAAGGTGCTTGCCACCAAACCTGACAGTCAATTTGATCCCTAGGACCCACATAGTGAAGGGAGAGAACCAACCCCTCCATATTGTCTTATGGGCTACAGTTATGCCATACCACAGACATATACACACGTAATCGATAAATGTAATTTTGTAAAAAATAATAATACAGGTAAGGTGTTGGTCAGACATGATGGGACACCTATAATCCTCACACTTGGGAGGCCAAGGTGGAAAGTTTATAAACTTGAGTTTGCCTGACCTACGTGGTTTAAGGAAAAAAAAAAATGAAAGCAGAGAAAGTCTTGAACTCTGAAACAAGAATTATCTGCCATTCAGAGTGGTGCACACCTTTTTTCCCAGCACATGAAAGGCTCAGGCAAGAGACTCAGCATGAGCAATAGTGAGACAGCCCAAAACTGTGTGTATGCGTGTGCACATGTATGTTTTACATTTTGTTATGGCCATGGATGGAGAGAAGCGTGTGCCACAGAATGTAAGTGGGAGAGTTGGTTGTCTTCTACCCTGTCGGTTCCAGATATGACTAAGGTCATTAAGCTTGGTCACAAGTCTGCCCCCATCCATTTTACGTGTTCTCTATTTCTGTATGCGCCTTTTCGTTCCCATTTACAAAGCTCACCTCTCCTCGCTTCCTCCTGAACCCTCCACAGCTGCCTCTTCCTGCCCCACCTACTCACTCAAGGCTTCTGGTGGCAGAACTGTAGTCCTGCTCCTCCTGAGCTTCTGAGCGTGGCCACTACACTGCACTCTGGCTGAGCTTATGGAGCACTTACAGCTCTGCCTAGAGGACTGTGTGCTGGCCAGCACTGACCACATGCCCTGGTGGATTTGTGAAGTCTGGTTCTTTTTTTTATATATATTTATTTATTTTTATGTATACAATATTCTGTCTGTGTGCATGTCTGCAGCCAGAAGAGGGCACCAGACCTCTTTACAGATGGTTGTGAGCCACCATGTGGTTGCCGGGAATTGAACTCAGGACCTTTGGAAGAGCAGGCAGTGCTCTTAACCACTGAGCCATCTCTCCAGCCCTGAAGTCTGGTTCTTGTGTGTGCTTGTCAGCAGTCAGAGCAGAGGCATGGACAACAGCATATCTGGATGGAGGGCTGTGAGTGCTTATCCTAGCTTTCTTGCTCTCTGTAATGGGAACTAGTGGTAACTAATATAAAAGACCCACACACACACTGGATCCCCAGTTTACCCAAAATGAGGGCCGGCTGGCTCACAGACCCTGTGATACGGCTCTGCAGCCCTGGCAACTGCTGTCCCTCTGACTGACACAGGATCTACCTTAGATACAGCCTCCACGCTGACAGACAGCCCTCTTGCCTCTGACTATCATTGTCACAAACTTGAGGACCTGAGATTGGATCATCTGACCACACCTATTATCACAGCACTGAGGGGCTAGAAATAGGAGGGTGTTGCCAGCCAGCCTTGCCAAACTGGGGAGCTCCAAGTTTAGTGAGAGACCCTGTCTCAAAAAATAAAGTGGAGAGCAACTTGGAAGACACCCAGTGGCTTCTGTGTGTGTGTGTGTGTGTGTGTGTGTGTGTGTGTGTGTGTGTGCTCACACACATGCACTACAGACTTAATGCATTCACGCACACACATGTTGGATTTAGTGTCAGCCACCCTGGGGTCTCATATGAATGTTTATGGAGTAATTGGAAAAGTGAACAACAGTGTTGACTTCTTGATATGTACATTATCTTTTGCCTCTTCATGGACTGTTCAACACCACAATCTAGGCTATTTAGAACTGATGGAAATTGTCTGGTCCAATATAGCTTACTCTACTCACAAGTTTAACAGTAAGAATGCCTTCTCCTGTCTTTGTGCAGATGACCCACATTTCTGCCCCTTCTTCCAGGTGGCCGAGCGGGCGCTGTATTACTGGAACAATGAGTACATCATGAGTTTAATTAGTGACAACGCAGCGAAGATCCTGCCCATCATGTTTCCATCCCTGTACCGCAACTCGAAGACCCACTGGAACAAGTAGGAACCGGCAGCCCATCCGCTTCCCGTTCTTTAAGTAGCACATGCCATGCTAGCTATCACTGCAGTTAGAGCTGAAATCTAAACTCACCATCAGCTTTCATAATGAACATCAGTTTTCTTCGTGACTCTTTAAGTTAAGCAGCAGTGTGCATTGTCTGTCCTGTCGTTGGCCTCCTTACCCCATGCCAAGCCAGTACAGAGGCCTGTTTGTCTGCACCCAGTTCCCTGCTGGTCTCAACAGTAGCACCTTCCAGGCCTCTCCTAGAGTCTCCAGGGGAGCTTGAATGCCACTGCAAATTTCTTAGGATCAGTCCTGCCAGAACATGGTAGGGCACGTTACTCCTTTAAGTCCCACGACACATCGGGGAGCCCATGGGTTAAACTCCAGGGCTGCCCTGCTGTGGACATTACCCAAGGATGAAAGAGAAGAGCAGGTGGCTTATGTGACTGAGGAGTATTCTGTCTCCTCCCTTTAGTTTCACTTCATGAGGGCAAAAAAAATTAGCTCCCCCAGTGAAAGCTCTTGATGCCTTGCAAGGCGCTCCACTGGATGCCAGAAGTGTTGGATGCTGAGCTGCACACTCAGCGTTAGCCAGATGTGAACCCCAGAGCTTTCCTTTCCTCTGTGGAACACCATAAATACAGTCAGTCTCCTGTTGCTGCCATCTGAATAATTTACCCGTAATTCTTTTTTCTATTCGGTCTCCAGGTAAAGTGACTTTGGCTGCTTTTACCAGGAAGGTGACCTTCCTGGCCGGGCAGGTGCCTGCAGGCCCTGACTGGAAAAACAGATAGAGAAAGAGCTAGCAGCTTGTATTAGAACCTAGTGAACTTGTTGTGGGTAGGTCTTCAGAAATAAGGGAGACTTGGCGGTTTAGAGGGAAGGGGAAATGGCAGGAGGTAGGAGAGGGGTGAGAAGGGTCCAGTGTTGGCATTTCACTCTGGCCTTCACTCTGCAGGACAATACACGGCTTGATATACAACGCCCTGAAACTCTTCATGGAGATGAACCAAAAACTCTTTGATGACTGTACCCAGCAGTTCAAAGCAGAGAAACTGAAGTAAGTGCTCCTTGCCCAGGTTGTTTTCCCTACTCCTTAATATTCCACCGACATTGTCTGTCACCACCATTGTTTGTCTTACAGAGTTATTCTTCATTTTGAGCTTTTAAAAAGAAACCCTGTTGTGCTCTTGCTTAGGAAGCAAGGTAAAGGTTGATGGTGGCCTATTACCAAAGAGTGTGTGTCTAGCACCAGGGTCCTCACCCTTCCACTAGCTGAGTCGCCTTGGCCTTTTTCATGGTGCTGCTTCTGTGCACCTGAGGACTTCGCAGAGACTGCCTAGATGTCCAGGTGCTCTGTCCCTAGGCTGGGCATATGGTCATGTGGCTGATTAGTAATGACTGGCTGGCAGGATGTCTCAGTTCCTTATGTCTGATAACTTGAGCTCAGAACCTGTGTGAAAACAGGAGAGCGTGGACTCCACAGCGTTGTCCTCTGACCTCCACACTCATGCCATGTTCTACTACAAGCTGCTAGTTCTGACTCCGTCTGTTTCCACAGTCAGGGCTTGCAGGTACCTACCCATACCCAAGTAATAATAATGCATCTTACTTATTTACTTAAACAAGTCACTTTTCAGGCCAGGCGTGGCAACACAAGTCCATTACCCCAACATTCAGGAGGCTGAGGCAGGAAGAGTACTATAAGATACAAGGTCACCTTAGCTATATAGTGAGACCTTGTCCTTTTGAAGAAAAAGAAGAAAAAAAATCACCCTTCCAAACCCAGTGTGAACTGTTGGCAGATTTTAGCTCTGCTTGCCACTTAAAAGTGACTAAGGTAGAGAAACTACAGGTGTCTGTCTAGCCAACCATCATTTCTTTGTTCCTCAGATGATGTGTGAGTCTTGGCTGCATATCTGGCTCTGTTTTGGTGTCTGATGATACAGTAGTGAATGCCGTCACAGGCTGGGTGAAGCACAGGGTAGCAGGGCTACACCAGACCAGGTCTCAGCCCTCGAGGGCGGAGTGCACATGGGCTAAAGTCAGTGTGATGTAAGTGTCTAAGAAGAAGCTCTCCGGTGTCCCCTCCTCCACTCCTAAGAGAGTCACAGTGCTCCAAAAGTTGTCTGTGGTAGCTTTTTTTCTTTCTTTTTTTGCCTCAAAAACAGTGGCCTAAATCCAGTGCCTCTAATGATGGTGTCGAAGCAACCCTGGTCTCCCTTGGGATCCTGTCACCACTGGGGTGCTGGCTATGGCTTCCTTGGCTCTTCTGCAGACCCGCCTGCCAGTGGGTATGAAAATAGCCAGCCAGCCAGGCTAGGAACATTGAATCTACTTGCAGGAGATAGGGAGTGTTTTAAATTCTTGTTTAATATTTAACTTTTTTACTTTTTAAAATCTTTATTCTAACTCTTGGCCAGTTTTTAGGTTTGGTTTCTTTCATCCCACATTGTTGAGAGCCACAGTAAAAGACATGGAATAAGACCAGAAAGGCCCTGGAGAAAGTGGTGGTGTTGCTAACATCTCCAAGCTTTCACCCCTATCCTGCCTGAATGCAAGTCTTCTCTAATGCAAATGACGTTTTACTGTTTTTCAGAGAGAAGCTAAAAATGAAAGAGCGAGAAGAAGCATGGGTTAAAATAGAAAATCTAGCCAAAGCGAATCCCCAGGTACTAAAAAAGAGAGTAACACGGGAGTGTTGAGGCGTTGCTTGAATGTTTGATGAAATAGGATCTAGCCCCACCCCAGGAGGGGAGGCCATCGTCACTAACACTGTATGTGCAAATGTCCACAATAAAACACTTTCCAACTTTGTAACCTTCCTCTTGTATAAGTACTTATTTGCCACACAGAATTTTTACCACAAAATTGACTTTTTTCTCTTCTTTTTAAAAGTAAGATATGATGTGGTAAAAAGAAAATCAGGATGTAACCTCTTAAAACTGTAATGTCCTTTCTTGCTCAGATGTCATAAATGCTGTCACTTGAACCATATTTCTCTTTTTTATTTTCATATTCGAAACAGATGAAGTATGCTGATAAGCTAACTGACTTCCGCCCTGCTCACACTAACCTTTCCTCTACCCTAGCTGATGCCCGTATGTTCTCGCAAGGTGAAGCGAGGCACAAATGGTCAGCAGCCTCCATCCACTGTTAGCTCTTAGGCTGCCAGAGCCTGGGACAGCTTTGCAGTCGTGGTCCCCTGATGTTATGTCTGCTGGACTGACTGATCGGTGATACCGGGGTGTTTCTCCTTGCTCTGTGTGTGTCTGGTTCTATCGGTCACTTGATGAAATGTCTGACCTTCCACACTAAGATCTCTCAGGCTTCTCTCAGCTCTCCAGGGAAGAAAATGTTTTACTTAACCGTGTATTTCTTTTTGGTGAGAAGTGTGTATAAATTATTATCTAAGTTGGATGTGGGTTTTTTAATCTTTGTCATTTAATAAAAATGATCCATGAAGATAACAGTGTGTACTTTCCTAAAGCAACATGCTGACCTGCATCCGTCAATGAAAAGAGACTTAATGGCAGTCTGGTACGGGTTTGTGGTTCCACCTGGACAAATAGCCGCATTTCCCAGCCTTCCTGTCCATGCTGCAGAGAAGTTCTTCTGAGGCCTGTAGCTTAATTATAGAGATCTGCGTTTATGGGTTAGGTTTATGTTGAAAGTGAGGTTGAAGTACTGATAGTTGTAAAACGTGGGAAAAGCATACGTGGGCAGGCTTAGGTGGTTCAGCCTTGCTGACATTGCCCTGGGGATCTTGGTTTGTTTGGAAGGTTTTATTTAGCTAAGGAGTGAAGAGCCTTGGAAAGTGTGCTTTGTCTAGAATATGGAAATAATCTGTTGGAAAAAAAAAAACTGCCTAAAACTTCTTCATACAAACTAAGAGCTGGTTGTTGTGTCAGCATGTGGTCTGGGGTCGCCACTGCCTTGCAGCAAAGGTTCCTGGTTTATTCCTTTTGATGGCTCTTTAAACTGTCTGTGGTGGGTTTGCATTGAAGCTGTGGTGACCTCCTGCCCACTGTCCTCACCCCCATCTGTGTGTGGAACCATCTGTGACAGTCCTCAAGAGTCTTGTCCACATGCCCAGCCCCATGACACAGTGTTTCTGAAGCGGAAAATACTTCATGTGCTAAGACCTCAGAGCTGAAAGTGTAGCCTTAGAACTCACTCTTCTGAGAGAAAAGTTAGTACTAACTAATTTCCGGTCAGTACTTGTTATTACAGGGTTCAGTGTGGTGTTGGATATGTGAGTTCTTAAGCAGTTTTCATATCAACCCTGGTGAGAGTGAACATGCAGCTTCACTATCCAAAGGAAGGTTACCAGCAATTCAGTGTGTTCACTGGCTTCCCAAAGCAACCCCTTGTTTCTGCAGGCCAAGCAAATGTCTCATCTGCCCAGAGATGTGAAATGCCCAGGCAGGCTGGTGGAGAAGGAATCTGGAAGCTGTGGCTTAAAAGACATTGTTTTGGGTTTCCCATGCCATATGCTTTGGGTGGAATTCCAAAACACCGGTCATTTCCAACAATGGTGTGTTTCTTTTAATCCACCAGATAGACTCTAGAGCATCTTACTGCTCGTCCCCCGCCCCCAGCTGGGCCACTGTGGCAGGGGATCGTGCCTCAGGTCCTCCACCTTCTATGGAGGCCTGTGCATTCTCATCCTCCATGAGCTGCTGCCTCTTGAGTTCCTGTGGTCTTTGTGGAAAGCCTGCTTGTGCCTACTGGGAGTGAGCTTCATCTGCTGTGAACCAGCACAGCCCATGAGCACAGAATCCTTTCCACAGCTCGTGCAACTCCTGTGGGAAACACTGGCTTTATCCTGGAGTATCAAGATGAAGCCTCTGCTTTAGCTCGGCCCCCAGTAGTGTGTCATGTAAACTTCCATCACTTTCTCTTCCTCTCCACCTGACTCAGCACCTTGAGGACAAGGTGCCATGTATCCTGAATCAAATTATGGAAATTGCCAGTGATAGAAACATAAGAGCCAAATACAGCCTGGCATCTACAAGCATAGGGTGCATAAGGTGGCCGGTGCACCCAGAGCATAGTACACGACCAAGGACAGGACTGCTCTAGACTGCAGAGGCAGGTGTGGCTCGTGTCTGTGGGGCGGTTCAGAAAGAAATGGCACTGGTATTGGATGAGGTCTAGCCCGGGGGTAACAGGGAGTCCTGACTCTACAGTTGTCACACAGTCTGCATTTGAGGCAAGGGCCCAAGACCTAGGCAAGTCGCAAGGTATTAGAGAAACCCAGGGTCGGCCTTGAGGGAGCTGTGATAAGACTGGAGAGAGGGCAGAAGCCATCTGCCTTTATCCTTCCAAATGTATGTAAGGAGCACAGTGGCCCAGGCGGACTTGCAGTTCAGTCAGCAGCAGGATGGTGTGCCGGAAGGGCCAGGCTCTTCGAGGAGCGTGTGAAGGGGGCTCCTGAGCAGAGCAGGTAGCACGAAGGGGAGGAGGGCTCTGCGGTTGTAAGAAGAAACTGGAGTGCCAAGTTTGGTTACAACAAGTACAGGGCCTGGAGGGAAAAGCGGACACGTGGTTGGTGTCCAGGAGGTGGCTTATTAGAGAAAGAGCAGGAGCCAGACTGGCCTGAACAGAGCTGCTAGCCAAAGGGGTGGCTGAGACCAAGTATGTGGGTGGCCGTAGCCGGAACATGGGACCCAGCATCCTCCAGGCTTTAGGCTTCTTGGCAGCACATACATAGCAAGGGAAGAACTGAGCATAACCTCCAACCTGCAACAGACACTGCCTGTCCCCGCCACCCCGGCTGACCACACAGGGAGAACAGGTGCCAGCAGCTAACAAGCTGTGGGCTACATCCCTCTGCTCACAAAGCCTGAAGTCACTGGGGCCAGGGTGGGGACCATCTGCCATTACAACCTGCCTGATGCACCCAGAACACAAGGAAGTGGAGAGGTAGGAAAGCTGAGCACAGGGCCCCAAGGCAGAGCAGGCCTGATTCCAGGGGCACAGGGGGCCAGGTTAGAGGGATCAGCAAAAATCCAGGCTGCGTTAGTTTTTAGTGACAAGCAGGATATCGGGATATATTGAAAGGTTTGAGATATTAAGAAAATACTGTGGAATGAAGGAGGATTTGGGGCAGCTGCCTCAGGGTGGATGTGAAGAAGGGAAGAGAGCTGGGGGTGGGGAGGGCTTGACAGGCTGTGTGCAGAGAACGGGCTGAGAAGTGGCCATTTGCTGTGGGCAGTGCCCCTTCAGTGTGTTGGCTTCAGAGATGCAGGAGGGCTGTGGGCTGACTGGTTTGAGGTGAACTTAGGAAGATGTAGAAGTGATCTTGGGGCCAGCAGAGGGTCATTCCCATAACCTAGCCTGAAGGAGGGTGAGCCCCTTTCCAGCATCCAACAGGCAGCAACCCACAGGCTTCATCAGTGGGCAAGTAGGCAAGCTTGTCTCCTACCACATGGCTTCTTGTGGGAGAGGGCCACAGGGAAGGACAGTGGGCAAGCGACCCCTGCAGTATGAGGGCCCTAAGTTCAGACCCGGCACCTAACAGAGAGTGACTCCATACTTTGCATTGCAGTATGCAGTGTATAGTCAAGCCAGCGCCATGAGCATTCCGGTGGCAATGGAGACAGATGGGCCTCAGTTTGAAGATGTGCAGATGCTGAGAAAGACAGTGAGCGACGAGACTCGTCAGGTAAAAGTGCATTGAGCTCAGCAGGGCTGTGCCCGCTACAGATGTGCTTGACGGGTCCGTCACGTTCCGCTAAGCTAATGCTATAAAGGGAAATGTAGTCACCTGTTAGGAAACATCTGTAGATCTGAATGATCAGATTGCTAGAAAAGTTAACAAGTAAGTGGATGTCTGCAATTTGTTGCTTCATTTACCTTAGTAACAGAAACCCAACTCCTAACTATGTGTTATATGAGCGTGAGCAAAATCTGAAGCTTTGCAATAGCATCTTGCCATTCACTTTTCCCTTTGCAGCCCTCTCACTTCTGCTCTGGCTCAGAGACACTTCCTTTAGTTCTTCATAGCAGGTGTTAACACTCCTCATCTCCCAGGACACCAAATGGGGAAGCTTAGCCTCAACCGGGAACCAAAGCCCCTGTGGCAGCCAGGGCTGTGCCAACAGCGATTCCAGTAACTGCAACTCCATGCAACCATTTAGAGCAGTTCTGATCCAGAGATCTCTTTCTGTCAAATTGAGAACACACGCAGAAAGGTTTTAAGGAGGGTTATCCACTGAGTTCTTCTGCAGGTCCTAAGAGTCTGCATTCGTCTGGGCATGCTCCCTGTTCCAGGCAAGTGTAAACAATGCTTTGAATGGACCTAGAGGTGTTGATTATTCTGACTTGTGAATTTTAGCCCCCTTTGACCAATGATAGGATCCCTAGACATTAGCACTCAGATTCTGGAATGTAGAAGGGAACCTTATTGCCGATTACTGCTCCTGAAGTCTATTGGAGTGCAGTTAAATAAACAGAAGGGTTCTCTAATCTGTTTTGTTTGGTTCCAGTAAATCCCCACCTGATAAGATAGCATGAGGCATTACTAAGAGTGAGCAATCTAGCCAGCTGAGCCTCCATCAGTCCCAACCACAGGTATCTGCAGAACACCAGACGTGGAACCTTCTGAACTGGGCTGTGGCCCCAGGGTAGCACACAGAAGCACTTCAAAACCTGGCCTGAAGAAAGGGTGCGGCAGCATCTCTTCATGATTACTGGTGACGGGGCCCAGAAAGGCTGCGGCTTGTATGTCAATACCATAAGCAGAGGTGCCTGTGGCCATTTTTTTTTCACCGTAGCAACATGGTTGCCCAATTGGGAGTCACAGCTCCCGGTCACAGTGCTAAGCAAGGAGGGCTCAGCCTTAGCACTTGTCATGGGAATCCATGTTCATCCTCAGCCCCTTGACTTAAATTAAAGTTTGTTTAAATAGGTGAATGAATAGTTCTTTCTACTCAGCCAAACATGAAAGAACTAAAAATACAATGGAAAAAAAATCATGAATTAGTTGAATCTACACTTTCCTTATTATAGTGGTTATTCTTGGCAATGAATAGATCTCATCAAGAATTCAACTGGACCAGGCGTGGTGGCACACACCTTTAATCCCAGCACTGAGGAGGCAGAGGCAGGCGGATCTCTGTGAGTTCTAGACCAGCCTGGTCTACAGAGTGAATTCCAGGACAGCCAAGGATAAATAGAGAAACCCTGTCTTGAAAACAAACAGACAACAACAAAAAAGAATTCAACTGGGCCTAGTTACTCAGGCCCATAATCCCAGCACTTGACAAGGCAAGGGAATTGTGAGATCAAGGCCAGTCTGGGTCATGTAGAGAGACTCATCTCCTGAAGAAAAGGAAAGAGGGATGATTAGAAAAGGAAGAAAACCTATGTATTTTCTGTGTTCTACCTGTAGGCATTTTCACTTTGGTTTTGCATCCCTGAATTTGCCAATGGCAGTCCAGCTGAATGCTTATCTGAGATGCCCATGTTCCTCTGGGATTTGGTGACTTCTTTCTCTTTTTTGGGGGGAGGGGGGCTTTTTGAGACAGGGCTTCTACTTGGGCCATATAAAGTTTAGAAGAAGTTGAAGGCTTGTAAGCCATTTACTGCACAATGAATACGTGAAAGTTCAGAGGAATTTTTTCTTCTGGTACATCCTTCAGCTTTGGTCACAATTCACTATAACTTACACCGTGTGCTTTACAAGATCAGCTACTGGATCAAGAACACACCAAATTCATCATACACCTCAAGCAAAAACGCCTTGAAAAGTCTCTGACATTGTTAGCCCTGGGACCATGGAGCCTCCTAGCTGTTATCCATGGTGGTGACAGGTACCCTTTTGGTAAAACCAGTTGGGCATTCTCAGCAGCCTTGGCAGGTTGCTCTGAGAGGCTCCTGTGGCTGTCTGTTTCTGTGACTCTTAAAATTACATCATCTAGTTGTTTTCTGTGTGATTGACATTCTTACAAAGTCGGTCCTCCACCTTATTTTTGAGTTCTGTGGCTCATGCTCCTGAGTCAGAAGATACCGTGCACAGGGAAGTTAGTTCTCTCCAAATTAATTTCTCCACTAGAATCCCAGCAGTTTTTTGTTTTGTTTTGTTTTTACCCCTTCAGAAACTGACAAGCGGAGATATACCTCGGTGGGTAGAGTGCTTGCCTAGTGTGTGCAAAAGCCTGGGTGGTTCCCACACATCATAAACCCTTCATGGTGGTACACTCCTGGAGCCTTAGCACTTGGGAAGTGAAGGCAGGAAAATCAAAAGTTCAAAGTCATTCCTGGCTACATAACATGTTCAGAGGTCAACCCGGGCTCAAAAACCAACCAGTTCTGAAATTGTATGGCTCAAAGACAGAGCAGGAGGATCTCAAGCTTGAAGCCGTCTGGGCAACAGTAAAGAGCCTGCCTCGGAAATGGAATAAAAATTTCCGTGGAAATTCAGAAGACCTAGAATAGCAACCCTGAAAACAGATAACACTGCCCAGTGTCAAGATATCTGTGGTTTAAACCTCAGAGCTTTAGTATATGAAGTTGCATGAGTCTTCAGTGTCTAGATGAAGGTTTTCTGAAGTATGGGCTCATTGGTAATATTTGAAATGATAAACTCCTTTTTTGTTGTTTTTGTTTCTGTTTTTTGAGACAGGGTTTCTTTGTGTTGTCCTGGGACTCATTATGTTACCAGGCTGGCACAGAGATCAGTCTATCTCAGCCTCCCAAGTGCTGGGATTAAAGGCGTGCACCACCACTACCAGGTGAAATGGTAATCTCTTCTTCATTTGAGAACATTTGGAATTCTCAGTCAGTTATGACAGCAAAAGAATATGCCAAGTAGCAGATGTTGTAGCCCATGCCCGTGGTGCTAGTGCTCTGGATACCAAGGCTAGATTGTGTACATTTAAGGCTAGTCCAGGCTACATGGGAAGACCTTGGCTCAAAAACCAAACAAAGCTATAGCTAAAAACTAAGGTCTGCGGTTCAATAATGTGAACACTTTCTGTGGCCCTCAGATTTATTTTCACTGCTTTTCCAACAAGATTCCATGTTTCTCTAAGTGGGTTTGACTGTTGGGTCAGGACAGAGTGAGAGGCAAATAAGATGGTTCTGCTGAAGACTAGGGGCAAGAGTTAATGCTAAGAAAGGCATTTGGTTGTTGGGGGAGGTGGAGAGAAATTCAATAATGTTTGGATTTTCTTTGTGGAACCTGTGGAACCCTATACAGAACACACCCCTGAAAAGTGTGTAAGCTTCATGTGAATAATTGAAAATATTAACAATTTTCATTTTTAACAGTTGGTCGGGAGAAAAGCAGTGTCTACCACGCAAGTCAGGAAGGTGTAGAGACGGAAGGCAGGCAGTGCAGGTACTCCTTGGCAAATGCATAGAGTGTACTTAAGGCTTTGTATCTGCCAGAGCGTGATGAGTCACCACGGCATGCATGAAGTATTTTCCCTTCTTCCCATAACATCACACCTCGTGATGGGCAGGACAGAACTAAAGAACGTTGACTACGTCTACCCCAAATTTCATTCTAAAGTTTGAACTCAACACCTCTCCAAGATAAAGGAGGTGTGCTCCATTGTGTACGCAACCCATGTTCTCTACAGGGCCTCTAGCAACACTTCCTGCTTCCTCATCCACCCACCCTTGCCTGCATGCTGCCAGCGCATCCTCTCCCCCAGATCTTGCTCATGCTACACCACCATCTGCATGGTGTCTCATTCTTCCCTGCCTCCTTTCCTCTCGTTGTTCCTCTTGTGGTTTGTCAAATCCTCTGCTTCATGCATCTGTTTGCAATGCTAAGCAGAGAGGCCCCTCATGTATGTCCAGAAGCTCTGGTCACTTCCTTTTCCTCGGTTCACCTTCACTGGGTCCAGCTCCAAGGCCTTGACTATGGGCTGTACGTTAAGGCATTTCTTGTCTCTGGCATGCCTGTGTCAGAGGTAATTACATATTTCATGTATTTTAAAATGTTGGTTTGCATTAGGATGGACCCAAAATTCAAGGTAGAATTTTACCTCTGAATTTCTGATGGGTTAGAAATAAACCACTCTTTACGTGCCAACTTTGGTGGTGCACACCCAAAATCTCAGCACGTGGGAGCCTAAGGCAGGAGGATCATGGATTTGAAACCAGCCTGGGTTTTGTAGCAAAACTCAAATCAATAAATACACTCTTAGAAGCATATGTACTGGTGAGAGCCTGTATGGGGACTGGAGACAGTCTGTATGGGGACTGGAGACAGTCTGTATGGAGACAGTCTGTATGGGGACTGGAGACAGTCTGTATGGAGACAGTCTGTATGGGGACTGGAGACAGTCTGTATGGAGACAGTCTGTATGGGGACTGGAGACAGTCTGTATGGAGACAGTCTGTATGGGGACAGGTGACAATCTGTATGGGGACTGGAGACAGTTTATATGGAGATTGCTGATTGGTTTCTTGGCAGGCAAATCAAAAAGCTTTCCTTCACCATGTTGAGTGCTAAGGTTCAAGTGACAGCTCTAGCAATAATCCTGGTGTCAGACAAGACACCGGAGCCCTTACCACTGCTGTTTTCATACGCAGATCCACCGAGAACCCTACTAAGACCCCAGACTCTGAAATGCAGGCTTCTGTTTGTGACTTGGCAGGTGCTTGAGTTTCCAGCCGGAGCATAGGAGCATGTTTCATCACCATATGGGAGTCAGGCATCAGCACACGGAGCAGCCATTCATACACGCTCTCTCTGTTGTCATATAGTTGGCTTTCAGTAGTTCTTTTTTCCCTAGATTACATCATAAAGGTTTATTGTCTTTAATGCTGTGGTTTTTGGTTGGAGACACTGGATGGAAAGGAAAACAGTTGGGGTTAAGGAACTTAGGTCCAAAAGCACTGCTGGCCGCCTCCGTCTTCTCGCAGCACATTGCCTTTGGACAGCTGACTTGGTCTGTTCTGTTCCAGAGTGCTGGTGCTAACATCACAGCCTCCGCTAAGCTGAGACATGCTCAGTGCAGGCTCTTCCCTCTGGCCCCGTTCTTTGCAGATACAGTTAGCTAAACCTCTGGGCCTGCTGGCTCATGCTCATAACCCCAGCACTTGGGAGGCCAAGGCAGAAGGATTGCCATGAGGTCAAGGCCAGCATGGACTTCATAATAAATTTAAGGCCATCCTGGGCTACATAATGAGATCCTGTCTCAAAACAGGTGCGTGTGTGCACATGTGTGTGTATGCACAGTCTAAATCTTCCTGGTAAAGTGGAGTTCCTAAACTTCAGAAAGAGAATGGAAAGGAATTTTTCATTTCCTAGACTTGATATCAGGAGCTTTTTTGTAAATGACTTCTGGGTACAGTTTTTTTTTTTTCTAGCTGCATGACCCATTTAATTCTACTGTAAGAAACTTTTAGAATGTTTTTGCAGAAGTTTTAGCTGTCTTAACTGGTTTAATAGTTTGTTACTATTCATTCTGTTTTCCCCTAAAAAAAAGTGTCTACTTTCTGGAATGTGTAACAGACATGATCATAAAGTGACATTGGTGATATTCTGTGAAAAACGAGGGTTCAAGCTGGGCAGTGGTGGCACACACCTTTAAACCCAGCAGAGGCAGATGGATCTCTGTGAGTTTGAGGCCAGCCTGGTCTACAAGAGCTAGTTCCAGGAGAAGCTCCAGAGAAACCCTGTCTCAAAAAACAAAACAGAGAGAGAGAGAGAGAGAGAGAGAGAGAGAGAGAGAGAGAGAGAGAGAGAGAAATTAGGAGAGTAATAAGAACTGGAGATTCTTCAAACTGCCCACTAGGCTTCACACTCATCACATAGTGTTTAGGATATTTGAGGTGAACGAATAAGAAATGGGCCCATATCCTGTGGTCAGCCAAGGCTGCAGCACATCTATGATCCTTGCTTGCTTCATATTTTCCTTTTACTTCTAACTCAGAAGCGAACTCCCTTCTCAGTCAGCCTAGTGCGTAGCCAACTGCATTGCATTTGTGATTCCAGGCACAGAAAGATCCGAAGAAGGACCGTTCCCTTGTGCGCCGCAAGTCCGAGCTGCCTCAGGACCCCCACACCGAGAAAGCCTTGGAGGCTCACTGCAGAGCCAGTGAGCTGCTCTCCCAGGATGGGCGCTAGCCTGTGGAGCAGCGCGTCCGAGTTGGGCCTGTCAGTTCTCTTCTGGATGCTGTAGAAAAGCCGTACTGTTTGTGCCATACCAATCAGCTACTCTCAAAGTCAAAGCTCCCTCCGACCCGTTCTGTGGGCAGTAATGCTCGGCTGCCTCAGCTCGAGATAGGAGTTCAAACAATGGTGGCTTCTCTGGCCCTGCCGGCTAAGCCAGGGGTTGATGACAGTGTTGTCACCATGCTGTCACCTCCCCAGCCTAGCCCTGAGTAAGACTGTGTCCCCAAGTCAGAGCTGTAGGAAAGCACCCTAGTTGTCTTCTTGTCCTACCCAAGTGGACCCTGTGCGCCTACGAAGTAGGTAGTTCTATGGTAACACCATGGTTTTCAAATCAAAGGAACACTTTAGAAGGCATCGCCTCCTTTTTTAAGGCTTTACAACCTTTGACACATTTCCACAATTTACTGTGCCAACAGCTAGTGTTTGTTGGTTAAACCTCATAGAAATGGCTCTTTGCTTTCACGTTCTAGCTGCCTACTAGGCAAGTAGCCAACATCCTCAGCACTGGGACCTCCCAAGGTGTTTCTTTCCTTTGATGAATGGCATACACACTGTGTCATGCTCCCCTTCGTGTCTACCGAAAGCCATATTTCCTAGTCTGTGGTAGAGGCCAGGGTTCCACCTAAGCTCAGAGAGGCAAGCTCTGAGAAGTGCTTTCTCAGTTCACCTTGACTAGAATCACAGTGTTGGAAAATTATGTGTTCATATTAATTTGCAGAATCAGTTTTTCATCTAGTTACACATTATCCTTCAACAAGGCTTTTGAATTGATAAAACTGTCAGATCTAAGAATTCCACATTGGTAGAACATGACAATAATTAAGCCACTTGGCCTACTGCAAACTGCATCCGCCTTTGGGCGTTGTGCAGACTGTGCTGTTAGGGTGCCCTCGGTGAGCCTTTCTGTTAAAAAAGCACACATTACCAAACTCATAAGGAAAAGTGCAACGTCTATGTTTCTGCCCATCTACACATGCTGCTACAGGCTTCCCAGACTTCTTGCATGGATTAAGCTTCTGTTTTAGGCGGAATAGCACGAGGAGAAAAATCCTTAAACTTAGCGCTTTGTCTGTTCTTTATTTCTCTCAGGGTGGCCAGTATTTTACTTATCCTGCTTGAAAGATACGTGAGATGTGTACCGCTACTCTGAACAGTGGCTAGTTTCTTGTGTCTCTGCATAAAAATGACTTAGTGTTAAATGTCTTGATGCATAAGAGGTAAAACATGGCTTCTTTTAAAATCTGTTTTTTTAAATTGTGGTCTCGGGTATCCATGGGGGAAAAAAAGAGATTGCTCTCATGTGGCCATAGAACCTGTCCTGGGTCTCCTTGGCTCGCTGCTGATGCTCACTCGACACAGCAGGAAAGACAGGCATCTGCAGGGAGGGGAGAGCCTGCTGGACACAAAACGGAAAGGTGGCCCCAGCTGTAGGTGGACAGGCTGGTTGCTTGGGTGAGAAGAACACTTCCTGAGAAACTTGACAAGTATCTATCCACTTTACCATTATGAAATCTATCATTTAAAAAAAAAGTTGAGATGCCTTCTCCTTTTGAGGGAAAAAGGGTGCTTTTATTGTCTAAAGCAGTGTCTGTGTATTTTGAACCCCATTGTTTGAACTCTCGTCTTTAGGTGGTAGAGTCTCAGATGGCCCTGATGTGGGGTGTTCCATATGTGGGGAGAGGTCCCGGGAGACTCTTGCCCTGCGTGGAACGCAAGCTGTCAGTGTCCAGGTGATGGTTCAAAGCTCAGTACAGAAGAACATCAGCTGGTCTAGGTTTTATTTCTGCCCTTTATTGAAGACAGACTTCACTAATAAGGAAGAAAAAAAGCGTTTTGAGAGAAACTAATTTTCTTTGACAAAAGTATTACTCAGTATTTTGGCCTATTAAAGTTTCCCTAGTTAGTACTTGGGTTCCCTGTGCTAATTGCTCAGCTTATATATTGTTATAGAGACACTGTTGGTTCTGTACCAAACTGGTTTCAAAAAACAGTACCACGTTGAAAATAAACGGACGACTGTTTTTCTTCGTAAGGCTCTAAGTTTGGCACCTTCACTCTTTCCAAAATGTATCTGTGCGCCAGAGATGTCACAGTTCCAAGTGTCTTTCTAGTGTGGCTTTGTATGGCTTCCTTTGGACATTGTACATACATTGTATCTTTGTTTTATGGTAATAAGTAATAAAAATGTAGACTTCGTATTTTGTACAAAATGTCCTATGTACAGAATTTAAAAAAGTTCATAGAAACAGCAAAAATAGGTAAGTGGCACAGTTATTTTTCTTTAGAAAATATCTGTAACTTTATGCTTTAGTGAAATGTTAAGTACCAACATATTTTTTAACATTTTGTAATTCAAAACTTTTTTTGTTTTGACATTGTTTATGAAGAAAGACTTCATGCACTTGCCATTTAATATGCTCTTTTATCTGATTTTAAAGACCTCTTTAAAATGGTGTATTATATGGACTAAATAAAGAACATGTGAATTTTATCGCTCATCATGAAACTAAATTTAGCCATGGCGTTGGGCAGTCTGGTTTCAACACGCTGTTACTGTCAGGTCACAGACACTGGGAGCAGGTGTCCTGTGTCCCCCCATTGAGTGCCAACTGTCCATTAGCGCCTCGTCTCCACTCTTAGAAGCTGAACCTGTTGACTGAAAAGGCAGATGCGTGGTGGTGCACACCTTTGATCTCAGCACTCGGGAGGCAAAGGAAGACAGATCTCTGTGAGTTCGAGGCCAGCCTAGTCTATGGAGTGAGCTCCAGGGCTATAGAGAGAGAAGGAGAGAAAGAAAGCAGCTGCAGCTTTTGACACATAGCACTTGGGTTGTTTTTTTTTTTTTTATGTTTACAATATTCTGCCAGCATGTATGTCTGCAGGCCATAAGAGGGCACCAGACCTCATTACAGATGGTTGTGAGCCACCACGTGGTTGCTGGGAATTGAACTCAGGACCTTTGGAAGAGCAGGCAATACTCTTAACCGCTGAGCCATCTCTCCAGCCCAGCACTTGGTTTTTAAATAGGCAATGTGTATACGAATCTGGTGGCTAGAAATCTAATGGTGTTCTGACCTTGATGCGTGACTAAGTGCCCGGAGAGGGTAGACATGCTGAGCGTATGAGCTTAGGTCTGTGCTGGCCCATTTGTTGCTGATGCCTGTGAAAACAGCCCAGGAGCTTCACTCTACCTGTGTTTGATCCGTGCAGGGAAGGGCACCTCTGGGTCAGTGACCCTTGCCCATTACATGGTCTCTGGGTTTCCATCCCTTCTGGCAGGAGCTAAGCAGTGGAGGCCAAACCCCAGGAAGAGAGAAGCCAGAGGAGGCCTTGGGCCTCAGACCTGCTGACTGCAGGTGTTTGAGGAAAGTAACTCCTACCAGAAGCGGCTCACAGATTAGAAGATACTAGATCTGGGGTAGTGACTAGGATTACTGTTTCCTGGCACTGGGTGGTGACCCAACTGGAGAAGGACATCATGTTTGGTAACCACACACACACACACACACACACACACACACAGCACAGGAACTGGCCAGAGGTGTGCTGTGATTGACAGCTGCCAGAGCCACAGTGCTTCAAGAGGCTCTTGGGAAAACTGGAAAAGCTCTGTGTTTCCTTCCCTGAAACTGGTGTACCAAGTCAGCAGTGGTCGCCATTGTTGTGCCCAGGCATTGATCTGTAGATGCCTCTCACCCTTTGGTTAATCTCCATTTGTTTTCTTCTTGGCACAACTGGTCAAGGAACTGCCCATGCCTCGACCACTGACAAAGCGAATGATGTCCAGACTGGACAAGCAGGATACAAGAAAAAAGACTGCCGAACCTTGCCAAGAGAGGGTAAGACGGTTCTGAAAGTTTTCCTGCCTCTGAAAATGGTCTGTCAGTTACTCTAAGCCTTAGCCAAAGTTGGTTGCTTCAACACTGCAAATGAGACTGGCTCAGGCAGCCAGTTATTTCTGTCATATTACTGCACATTTTGGAAGCTGCTTGATTGCACTTCCTGCCTACTCGAGTAATATTATCTCCTTTCTCAAGCTTTAGATGGGTTGAAGATTAGATAGTCATAGTTACCATCCTCTTATGATCTAGCCAAGCCATTTTCAATACAAGACTTAGACTCCTTAGGATAGAATGTTTATTAAAACATTAGGGTATGTTCCTTGCTTAATATTGTTTATGCTGGTTGTGATTCTAACTTTATACTTGATATCTGTTCCTAGTGTACATAGTTTTATGTTGGGTTTGGAACTCTCTTATTTAAACAAAAGGGGGGAGTGCTGTGGGAGCTCCTTTGGCCAACCAGAGTGTTGGCCGTTCTTTCTATTCACAGTGGAGAGACCAGGACATAAGCATTTAAGTCACTTGCCCCAGAGTCACAGCACTGAGAGGAGCCAGGACTCAGCCCATGCACCAGAACCTATTACAGGTAGGAAGGTCCCATAAACAAGGCACCACAAGGACAGTAAGCTGTGGGAACATCCAGGTAAACAGTGTGAATTCATGTCTATATACTCCAGACTGAGAGTTGAGTGACCATGAACTCTCAGTGAGGCCCCCAGGATGCGGGGAAGGTGTGGGCATAAGAGAGTGTGGACTGGACGTGGCACCTGCCTGGCAGAACCAGGTAAACCTCAGACATTAGTCCATGCCTCATGGTGCTTCAGGAATATTGTTTCTATGTAAATTTAAGCAGAGTCTCAAACATGCTATACCAAATTTCAGCCATCAAAAAACCTCTATTCTCATTGCCTTTGTTACTAACACTAACATGAAACTTGTGAAGATCATCAAAAGTTCACCTCATAATTAAATCTATATGTTGTTACACATGATTCAGTGACGAGAAATGGGTTCCACTACCAAAAGTATGAAATTCACCAGCCTTAAGTTAACATTGGCTTTTGGGGCAGGAGGTGTTTCTTGTTTGGGTTAAGGAACCCATCTGAGTAAAGATGTTGGCCCATGCCGGTGGAAGCTAGGTACCCTTCCTCAGCTCAGCTCACCAGCTCCTTCACAGCATCTTTACAAACAAAATCTTATTTTTGAGACAGGATCTCATTCTGTGGCTCAAGTTGGTCTGAACTCACTACACAGTCCAGACTAGCTTCGAATTTACAGCAATCCTCCTGCCTTAGCCTCCTGGGTCATCATGCCCAGTTTCACAAAAGCATGTGAATTCTGAAGAACTTTAGGCTGACGACGAGAATTTGCCAGGCATGGTGGCCCAAACCTGGAATCCCAGTGCTTGGGAGGCTAAAGGAGGAGGACCAGAAGTTCAAGGCCTGACTGGGCTATGGGAGGCTCCGTCTCAAAAGAAACTTAGAACGTATCTTTTTCTCTCCCGGTTTTCCTGGTCATATCTAGTTCAAGGCCAACTCAGCCTGCATTATGCTTATGGGAAATTGACCAAATACGAGCTGGGCCAAGCTAGAGCTTTCAAGTATGTATTTTTAGAAAGTGGTATCTAAGACCAAGGGGTCCTGACAAAGCTTCTCAACTCCTGATAATAAAACAGGCAGGAACAGATGTGTCTGGTAACAGTGTGCTGGGCACAGGGAACCCCAGGAGCCAGCAGGAGGGCTAGTGGAGCCTGGGAACCCTGGACTCTGCACCTTCCACTGGGACCAGCTTTCCATAGAGCAATGGTTCTTAACCTTTAATACAGTTCCTCATGTTACGGTGACCCCAACCATAGAATTATTTTTGTTGCCACTTTATAACTGTAATTTTGCTACTGTTATGATTTGTAATGTAAATATCTGTGTTTTCCAGTGATCTTAGGCCTGTGAAAAGGCCCTTGCAAAAGGCATTCAGTTCCTAAAGGGGCCATAGGTTGAGAACCACTGCCATAGATGCTGTGTGTGTAGGCATATTCCCAATCTTGACAATACTAAGTCACCTTCACTTCTGTCTTCAAAATACAGCTTGTAGGAAGCTGTCCATTTTAGACTTAAGGTGTCCATCCATCATTATGGATGCCTTTAGAGGCATCTTGAAGCCAGTAGGGCCAGGGCATGGTCTTTCTGATTGAATTACCTCTAGGAGCCCTAACTTCCACCCTGGTTGGGAGACTTAAGCCAAGGCTTCCACTCAACAAAGAAGATAATCAGAATCTCATCAGAGCTGTCCCCCGCATGGCTGGAATGAGAATATTTAAAAGCTTGTAAATTGATTACAGTGAGCATCACCCAGGGAACAGTGAATTTGAGGCCAGACTGATCTACAGAGAGAGTTCTAGAACAGGCTCCAAAGCTACAGAGAAACCCAAAAACAAAAACAATGAATTAATTAAAATAATTCGTAATTAATAAATAAAAATAATTAAAATAAATAAATGAATTAAAATAAATTAAGAAATCAAAAAACAGCCGGGCGGTGGTGGCGCACGTCTTTAATCCCAGCACTCGGGAGGCAGAGGCAGGCGGATCTCTGTGAGTTCGAGACCAGCCTGGTCTACAAGAGCTAGGATCTCTGTGAGTTCGAGACCAGCCTGGTCTACAAGAGCTAGTTCCAGGACAGGCTCCAAAACCACAGAGAAACCCTGTCCCGAAAAAAAAGAAAGAAAGAGAGAGGGAGGGGAAGGAGAGAGAGGGAGGGAGGGAGGGAGGGAGGGAAAGAAAGAAAGAAAGAAAGAAAGAAAGAAAGAAAGAAAGAAAGAAAGAAAGAGAAAAAAAGAAATCAAAAAATAAAAAGAAAGACTTACCAAGAGGAAGCAACTGGAAGTGCTCTGCTTTAGGGGTGTTTAGGACAGCAGCTGGAAGGGCATGTTACAATCAACAGGCTGATGTCCAGGCCAGAGGAAATGGGCTTGGCTCTGTTGCCAGTTGTCTTCTGCTCACATTTAGTCTTCAGTGCTGGCTTTGCCTGACAGTGGTGTGAGTCAACTCACCGCAAGGTCTGTATACCTGAAAGCTCATCTGTCCTCAGGGTTGGTCACATACGCAGTTGGATCTTAGTATCCATCCCCTCCAGGAGTAGAGCTGATGATAAATCTCCTAGACCCCTAGACTATATTATTATGGTATACCCAGCATGGTCCCAGTCCCCAAGAGAACAATGGCATAGCTGCTACCTTTCAGAACTGGAGACAAGGCCAGTCCCACTTTGGGGGACAGTTAAACCCTTCTCCATCAGATCCCCTCAAAAAAGGAATAGTGTGCAGGGAAGTTTGCGAACTTAGTCTGGACTTGACAGATAAAGCACTTGTGGGGTCTCCTAGCCAACACCCACATACCCCAAACTGACCTCTCCCCAACTGAACAGCCCCAAGCAAACAAGAAGGATCCAGAGCCTGTGATAAAATCTGCAGCCAATCTGAGAACACGGAGGGCTTGGAAGATGAGTCTAAACAGCCACTAAGGAGAAGGACACAGCCAGAGGCAGGGCTGTCCTAGCCCAGGAGGAAACAGTCCAGTACTTTAAACTGCTAGGAGATGAAATGATATATTAAGTTTTCTATAAATTCTGTATATCTCAGGCTGACATTGAA